GGAGAGATAATGTCAGCGGCTAGCATATCATCCATCGCGCCGCGTATATGATCCCTCTCCGCCGGGCTCAACCGATGTGGATTCATCCGAATGGGAGCAGCATCCCTGGTATCAGTATGGTGGGAGAGCAACGAGGTGCTTCCCAGATCGAAATCGTCTTTACTAAAGACATCAGAATATTTATCCAACAGTGCGCAAAGCGCGGACCGCTGGTCCATAGTCAAGGACACGTTTTCTTGGCACAACCCGGCGATCCATCGATCGTCCTGCGCCATCGAGGCCGAAACCCCCCCTACGAGGCCCCGGTGTGCCGGATCGTCATGGGCCGTGAAGGCGGTCGTAGCATGTGCCAAAACCGTTCCAGCCGGCACGACGACATTGTCCGCGCCTACATTCAACACTTGCAAAAACGGAGGCTGACCCGGCCGAACAATCGTTCGTGCCATGACCAGCGCCAGGCCATCCGAAACCGCATTGGACGGCGACAACAACACCCCCACCGCCCCCTCGACCCCAGGCACGGGCCTCCGATAATGCAGTGGGATAAGCATCTGCGAGCCAGGTGGAATGTCAACCGAAACATCGGATAGCGCCTGCACCTGACGGTCCGGAGCGGACTGTCCCCACGGCGACGGCAAAAATAATCTTCTGGCCCGCCGGTAACTCAATACAATTCTGATCAACCCTTATCTGAATGGGCATCTTTGCCAGGAAATCGGTCCCCAACAAACACGGCACAGCGAGGGACCTTGGAGATTAACACCGTCCCCGAAACTGACACACCCCCAACCGAAATACGCGCCTCCACCTGACCAATGATGCCCATACTCCCTCCGTTCACCGCAACACATGAATCGTAAACCGGTCGTACCCGCGACGGCGGAATGGACAGGAGATGGAATATCACGTCCGAGATGATAGTTGCGGACGTGCCCGAATCTATCAAAATCCGCACGTCGACCCCCTGTATCGAACCTGGCACGGTCGACGACCCAGTAGTGGCTGCGACCACCCTCCGTACCAATTTCTGCCACTGTCAGCGAGCGACGCGGATCCCTTAGAGTTCCCCCGTTAGAACAGGCCCCCGGAACGCATACCGACGGTGATGCATGAGATGACAGGCCTTGCCAGGTGTCTGATGCATTCCGACTTGCCTGACACGGTTGACTCTCTGGCGTTGACGTCGCGTCCTTGGCCGGGGACTCCGGCTGAAGAGGCGGGCGAGGGCGACTCCGACAGTCCCGCGCGAAGTGTCCAAGACGCCCGCAGTGGTAACACGACGAGTCGGCCCGCCGCCCGACTCCCCCCCCGTCTCGACGATCCCTCAGCGGCGGGCCGGAGCGCGACTCCGCTCCCCCTCGAGGAACCCACTGGGCCGCTGCAGCAGAGAGATCGCCAGGCCCCCTCTCGTCCGGCACAAAGACGGCCTTTGACAGAGTCTACCCAGCGGCGCCTCCCTCCACGGTCGGGCTCCCCGTACAGGCGGTCACCTGTGCCCAATGGCGCAAGTTGAACTGCGCATCAAGGCACTTGGCTGCCATCCGGGAGGTCAGCTGCTCATGGCCACATATCGGCATCGAAATGCCCAAGTCCTTGGACAGCTCCAACATCTTACCCAGTATCAAGGGCTCCAACAAGTCGGGCTCCGTCTCTGGATACGCGGCCATGGCCAGCTCAAGCACAGCGCCCCGGAAAGCCACAGGCGATTCCTCGGGTGCCCATTGCCACTGGACGAATCTGCGGTGTGCATCGTCCGGAGGCTCGTACGCTTCTGCCATCTCTTCGAACGCCCCTTTCAGCGTCGCTTTCTTCGCGGCCTTGATGGAGCGGAAGAATTTCAAAGACTTGTCGTCCAGGAGCGTTGGCAGAACTTCCAAGGCCTCCGCATCCGTCCACTTGGCGCCACGCAAATGCGCTCTAATCTCCTCCAATTGAGAATGCTTTAATCGTTGTCAGGCGATGGCTGCGAGTCCCCGAGCTGCTGTCTTCCGATGCAGGCGTCTTCTGCTGCGGCGACAAGATGGCATCTTCCTGCCGTGGCAGCGACAAGATGGCGGCTTCCCGCCCCGGCGGCGACAAGATGGTGGCTTCCCGCCGTTCATCCGTGACCACACCCAAGATGGTGGCGTCCTGCAACGTGTCGGAGGGCGGGAAGCGTCGCAGAGGCCCCAATGACGGACGGCTCGGCCCCACCCGAAGGCTCCCCGCCTGAAGGCCTGCCGCGTGGCCGATCCGGCATCGTCGCTGGCGCGACCAGGGTGACTAAATCCAGCAGAACGGCCCGCAGCGAATCAAGCTGGACTGCCACGTGTCGCCAGCCGTCCTCGGCGCCCGTCGACACAGACGGCCCGGCCGCCCCGACGATCTTGTACTCCTGTCGTGTCGCTCGCCGCCACTTCGCCCACGCCTTCCATTGTCGGGACCACCACCGCCGGAGGAAGGTCCTCTTTGTCTTCGGAAGATGGTGCAGGTATATTCTTTTTCTTGAGATGTTTTGACATCTCTCCGTTTGTCTTTTATTTAGGTTCTTCTCTGCACCCCCCACTGGCCTCCTCTCGGACCAGTGTCATCTCGCACACGCCCCGCGCACACTCCCTCTCGCGTGCCACGCACGCTCTCTCTCTCGCGTGCCCCGCACGCTCCTCTGTTAGCTCCTCTATTCCCGCACTCCGCACACCGCTGGCCGATGGCGTGCAGAGGTCCTTCGGCCACGTGGCCGATGGCGCGGATCTTTCCTCACCACCCAACGTGGCTCAGCCTCTTAACTTCCCCGACTGCTCCGATCTCTTCCGGGCTCCCACTTATATACATTCCCCCCACGTGACCCTGACTCCTCCCCTTCCGGATCCTCAGATCCGGCCTTCCCATACTACCCCGCTGGCTCCGCCCCCATTCACTTCGCCTCCCATTGGAGCCGAGGTGAACGGTGGCCCCTCCCACACGCCCCGCAGACCAGGCTCCGCCCCCCAATACCCAGGGCCGTGTGATTGGACCCGATCCCAGCAACAACCCCATTTACGCTCGCATTCGGCATTTTGCCTTGCTCCTAATCCCTCTAGCAGCGCTCCACTTTCCCCTACCCCACATCCCCCCGCTATATATCTCCTCCCTGGCTCCTCCCCCCTCTCTTACCTATATAGCCTCTTGTCACGACAGCCCTTTTGCCCACTTCAGCAATTATTTCTTGCTGTGGTAGTCCCACCTGATGACGGACGCTTGTGTTGCGCCCGAAACGTCGCGATTTAATTTATTTCATATCTACATGACTTTACCGAAAGAACCAAAGGGTATCATGAACTGGGTTGTACCACATAAAACTGACGAAACATCCACATCTTCTCATCACTAACCACATTCACACCACTCTCTAATATCACACCACACTTTCAACACTCATCAGTCTAGACATATACTTAAGTGTAGTGTTGTAAAGGACTGACTTCTAAACTTCTTTATGGCACACAGTTTATTGTCTTAATACAGACCCTATCACACAAAGGGGTATATGGTCCCCTCACCCGTTACCCTGAGGAGGTACAGCCTCTGGACCTTGTACAGCTCCACACTCACGCTTAGCTCCTATTCTGAGGTACAGCCTCCGGACTTTGCAGGCTATCTAATCTCCCTGCTATCCCAGCATCCTCTGGCTGGACCTAGGGGATCTCTCCCCAACCACTGGTTACACTGAGCCCTAGCCCTGATAAGGGCTGGAGGGCTTGGTCCAGGGTCCTAGATGTCTTCGGCCGACTTGGGTCTTCGTGTAGCAGAACTGGCCAAGAGCTCTCAGCGCTCTGGCTTTTATACCTGTTCGTGGCCGGGTTGTCCAATCCCCAGCCACCTTGTGGAACCCTCCGATTGGTCCTTCCCAATCTGGTGTTTGGATCCTACCTCACCCCATTTGACCCTGACCGTTTGAGCGGGAAAAACCTTGTTTACGATCCGCTCTCTCACAACTTGCGAACAAGTGAGTAGTTATCACCACTACAGAAGTATAATTTGAACGAAATTATTTATTAGTATGCTATTGACGCTTGTAACGATTACGTTCCTTGCAGCTCCCCCGACATGTAAACAGACTAGCCAGCTGACCGAGGGCCTGAGGTGTGTTTTCACTGTTCAGCTAATGTGCGTTCAGTTTTCGCCTTTGTGCAGCGGCTGATTTCAGTTTAAAATACCTTCGTATTCATGCGTTGTATATGTCCTAAGATTATATATACATAGAAACCACACTCCCATTAACTACTGTGTTAAAATAGTAACCCCAATTGAAGGCGATAATATAGAGCTAAAATCGATAACCTTCAAAGTCAGGTAGGTAGATGACGATTGCTTGTGTTGCGATCAAAACGTTGTGATCTATTATTTTTCTACCTACGCGACTTTACCAAAAGAACCAGAGTATGGATTCCTGCAGTCACGAAAGCTTCAAATCAAGCATAAACACCCAGTCGTTCATATAAGTTGAAGGCAGTATAGTACTATAGTATGAGCAAGTACAGAATCACTGAAACGGAATTTATAGCTTGAAAGTGCGGGGCCCGTAGCAATATGCTACTTTTCCCACTAGGTTAATCGCACTGACCACGGGGAGAACATGCAAACACCAAATATACAGGCATCAGGGTCGGGATAGAACCCACGACCTCCTGGAGACCAGGCGAAGTAGTTAACAGCTTGCCACTGTGGCACCCCACCATGGAGATGGAGCGACATCAGCTCATGGACAGGTGCAATACAAGCTGTAGTGTCGCAGGACAACCATGTGGGATGCCAATGATGGTGGAAGGCTCATCCACAATGCTTGCTCAGTGGCAACAAGAAATCCAGTCCAGCACTTTATTCTTATAGATGGCCATCGATGTTCATGCTGCGTAACTTTACCAATCAGCCGACAAACGCAGGTGTTGTGCATCCCGAGTCAACCAGCAAGACAACTAGACGTGTCACCCGTTTTTGTTACTGCTGCATTGCTTTTAACAGCAAAAAACACTTCACAAATGTTTAGGTGTATTTTTGGTTTAATGCAATGGTCAAATAATGATCAATTTGTTTGCATTCTACACAATGTAAAATTCTCACAACGTAACCTTTATTCATGGTGAGCCTGGACCTCCATGTCTAAAAAAGACAAGGGTATAAGCAAGGCTTAACACAACACAATCAAATTTTAAATTATGTGTTAACAATGGGGCGGTCTCGTTGTGTGTGTTGAAGTCGGGTCGGTAGTTCGGGCCACTCACATCTCTGGTAAATGACTGTTATTTCAAAGGGCACAAAGCCACAGGCAGGCGCTCAAAACGGGGCCTCGAGAACAAGGGAAGAATATTGGTCAAACAGCAATTACCATACAAGGGGAATATCAGGGCCTACAAACAACACTTGCTTCACACAGTGGATGTTTAATCTCCCGCGATGTTAAATAAAAGACAGTCGGGCTCGAGGGCTGGCTGCGTGTTCCAAATTTGCCACAAGTAAAAAAATGGCACTGAAACTTACTCAATTGGGATTACAGGTAGCAACATTGCCCCTTACTGCAAAACTACTGCAGACTGTGAAACGTAGCGATATTCTTGCACTATGAGATTGGCACAAATACCCAATACGCTAATGATTTGAATTGACCATTTAAGTGTATGTTTGCATAGCCATTAAATATTTATTTAAATGTATGAGTATGAATTTTAAAGTGAAAGGGCAAAAATTTACGTGTGAAGACCACGTGAATGCGTATGAGTGAACAAATGCACATTCATCTTTACACAACCATGCGTAGAAATATTACCCAAACACAGGCTTCAAAACGCGTTTCACAGATCATTCCCTGCAACCAGCACGATGAGCTCCTCTTCACGCATGAAATCTCTGACATAGGCCCCTCCAGGTTAATGCTAGGTGATGCTTCCCATGGGTGCCCCGTCACGGTGGGTTCTGTCTGTTGCCTGCACCGAATGCGAATCCCACACACAATGCAGACTGCATTTGGCAAGCACGATCAAGTCGTTGAGCACGAATATCACACGAGCACAAGGAGAGAATGCAGATTTAAAAAAAACATATGACCGTGTGGGTGCATGCAGGTATAGGAGACATGGGAATTCCCTCTGCTCCCTTCAGGCACAACACACCGAATGACGGGGCGAGTGTGCGCACAGTGCATCACTTCCCCAGCTGCTCCGGCATGCTGAACGCCTCGTACACGTTCGCCGCAAAGTTGCGCACGGTCTCCATCGTCAGCAGTTCCTAGAAACATAAACGGGGTACAGGAGCAGGCCTTCAAAAAACTAGGCAAACTCAAACTCTGCAAATATGGGTTGGTTCGGCACCCATTTGTGGTACTTCCACACTCGAGGTGCACGCACCATGCCCGGCCAAGGGCTGACACTGATGAAGACGATGAAGGGTAAGTGGCGATGAGCAGATAGTTCTACGCCTGCATAGAATTCTCACCTTCAATCCACAACCACCACCAACCACCACATTCACTGTCACATCCCTACTGGGTCACACTTTTTCAGCTGCTCACACTAAAGTCACCAACAGTACCTCTACCTCATTCCCACATGAGTTTAATAATCTCCTTTTCTCTCCCAAGCCTCGCATGCTTCGGACTCCCTTCACCTTCTTCTTGGTTCTTTCGGTAAAGTCACGTAGAATGGAAATATAAAAATAAAGCAAATAAAACATAATAAAATGAAATAATAATAATGTAATTTTTTTATTGTCTTATTTTTATTATTTTATTACTTCCCTTCTACGTGACTTTACCGAAAAAACCAAGAAGATGAATCCCTGCAGTCACGAAAGCTTTAAATCGAAAAATCCCTTCACCTTGTCAGGTCACTATAAACCGCATCTGTTATTGTAAAGAGTGGCATAAGGGTCTTACTTTGATGCTTTTTTTCTAGATTAGAATTTATTATAACCGAGGATCCAAACATTTAAATGCCACCCAATACTATCGACCTAATCTGCAGACATTATAACTAGACATAGATTGGGGGACTATTTGGTGTTTGAACATCTTTACACCTGTTCTATTTCCAGAAAGGCTAAAAGCTATTATTTTCCCCAATCACAACATTTTTTCTCCAAAACTGACGCCCACATTAAATTTTCCAATGCGATTTGTGACACTGCTCGTAAAATGGCAGTGCTCGATAATGCCTGGTATTAATTTAACAAATAAATTCCCGGTATTATTTTAAAATGCCTGCTATTATTTTAACAATGTCTGGTATTATTGAAATAATGCCTGTTATTATTTTAATAATGCCTGGTCTTATTTTAATAATGCATTGTATTATTTTTAAAATAATGCCTGGTATTATTTTGAAGCCTGATAATATTTGAATAATACCTGGGATCATTTTAATACCCAGTTTTGTTTAACACGTAGGTGTTCGTGACCAATATTTTGGGACCCAATAACTGTTAATTACCCAAACAATAATATACATCCATTGTAATTTATATTACATTAATCCCCCTCCCCTATTCCTTTGGTCTTTGCACCTGATTGGCTCACAAGTGACATGACATTTATCCCTCTATTTACCGGGGAAACGTCATGGTACTTGAATTGTAAATGTTGTGGGTTTACTCTCGAACACACCGGTGTGCTGAACTAGTCACTAATTGCCACGTTTTGTTTACGTAACAAACTGTACTAATTGGCTGTGTTGGGTGGTGGTGGGTTTAACGACACATTTATATTTATGCAATCTAACCCAAAAAAACCCTCTATTATTGAAAACCCAGTTTCTAAAGTTATTTGATAAACATGCCCCCATGAAAGAGATTAGGCTTAGGGGCACTAGGCCGCCTTGGTTTCATGCATTAGTTACCAAACTGATGAAGTCTAGAGACCATGTGTTGACTATTGCCAAAACAAACAATCGCTCTTTTGATTCGTCCAATGACAGAACCCTAAGAAATCGTTGTACAAGATAAATAATAAACACGAAATACAAATATCACCAAGATGCTCTTCTCTGCTCTCAAAATGACCCAAAGGTCTTCTGGAAAATTCTAAAAAGATTTTAAATAAAGGTAACCATCATGGGATTCCTACTGGACATCTGTGAATAAGAGCTTCACAGCCCATCAGATTCCTCCAGTATAAATATTCAGAATGTAGGGGTAAAACCTTGGTTGATGAACAGGAAATTATAAATATCCTAAATTAAAATTCTGGTCTACCAGGTCACATTTCTGATTGCACAAGTCAATGACCCAAAGATCAGTGGTTGCACTCATCAGGATAAGACCCGAATATTTGATGTTCAAAATAAACGACTGTCCGCCATCCCATGGGGATTATGAGTTTTTTTTGACAGGGTATCTAAAATCAACACCCTGCGCAATGTTATGAAGTTGAAAATGTCTTCACCCCAGAGTGGACGGCATTCCCGCGTTCGCCGTGAGCGGCAGTGGGCGACACGACCTGCAGATCTCTCACTCAGTTGTTGCAGCTTACTCTTTTGCAATGGAACGTCCCAATTATGAGAAAGACTGTAATTGTTCATCTGTTGAATACCGTCGATGCGACAGAATATCCTAACAATTGTAGGCCTATACCGATTCTCTCAACACTTATTCGAGTTTTTTAGACACATTTTAAGACTCGCATAGTTAGTTTTATCTCAAAATACAATGTATTCAATCACAGCCAGGCTTTAAATATAATACAACCACAGCAGTAATTACGGCCGTTAACATTGTCAGAAATCAGGTCACGAATCAATTCTCAAGGGCTTTATTCTTTGAACTCTGAAGTTTTTTAATCTGTTGATCAGAAAATTGGGTTAAATTCCCTTGCAGAACTAGACTTATCTGGAAGTGCCATATACGGGTTAAGTAGCTACCTCTCAGACCATCACCGGAATGTTTACATGTGTAACGGTTCGACAGAGGCGCACTCGTGTGGAGGCAACACTATTTATTTAACACAACTGCAACAACACACCCTATACATAAGGTGGTGACCACCATCCTACTCTCACTAACACTCAGTACTACTTGGCGTGGCCAAGCCAGGAGGCTACTGCTTGGCCACGATGACTGGAGGCGTGTGTCTTCAGAGTCTTCATACAACGGCTTTATCCCAGACACCAACAGCCCCACTCTGCGCGCTAAGCCCGCTTATAAGCCACTCCGGCGTGGCCGGCCACGCCCTGGCCACACCCTTCTCGAACCCTCGAGAAGGCTCCACTGCCTGACCACGTGACCCCCGGGGTCCCCCAGGCCCCCCTCTTGGATTCCAGCCTCCATACCGAACAGGCAGTGACGTCACGCCTGCAGACCCAACATGGCAGTGACGTCATGTGTATACAGGCCCGACATAGCAGTGAAGTCATATGTCGCTACATCACCCCCACCCCCCCGTGTAACATACAGCCATCCCGGCTTTGCCCCACAACAGAACGTCAATAAATAACCGGCAAACGACAATAAATTACACGACTAACATATGTACACAATAGAGAGAGAGAGAAAGGGAAAAAAAACACAACAACCATGCATGAAGCAGTCAGTTCACAGGAGCCCCTCCATCCCCGGTGCACCCCTGTAAAATCATGCACACACCGAACAATAAACAACCCGAGTGACAACATACACGTGTGAGAGTGTCATTTAAAGCGCGCGGTTTTTGAACGGGTCCGTGTGGCTGGAGCCCCAGGCGAGGTGGGCCGAAGCTCCCTGGAAGGTCCGGGAGAATCGTCAGCGCTGGAGGGCGAGTGTGGCCCCTCCGACACGGGGTCGTCGACGGGAGGTGGTCGGTCGCAAGCTGCTCTGCGCACCGCGGGGCATCCGCAGAAGCAGAAGCCGGTAGCGCCGGGTTCTTCACGAGCTCCGATCCTGCGGACTTTACCACAGAATCACCCTAAGCAACTACCTCCACGGGTGCGCCCCCCAGCTCATTCGGTACACCTGACACTCGGCCTGTGGGATTTGGAGATGAGGGGACTTGACGGGAATGAATAAACGGCTTAAGGCACGAGGGATGAACAAACCTATTCTGGCGGCCGAACCGGATTTTAACACACTGCGGCCAGTCGGCCAGCACCACTTCGACCGGGCCCCGCCAAGGCTTATACAGCTTGGGGGATGTGCCGACAGGCACTTGCGGACAGTGCAACCAAGGCTTGTCACCTGGAGCCCACCGTTTGCCCGACTTGCGACGACCCCTCAACCGCTCGTTGGCCAACTGGCGGGCAGCGGAATATTCCCTAGAGGCCTCGCGCGCCTCCGAAACCCTTTGGAGGGTAAAACGCATAGGTTCTGAGATAGAACCAGTAGGCTTCAAAGTAGCCGTCTTAAGTTGTACATCAATGGGGGGGGGGGGGGGTCGGTTCCCGCCCATACATCAGAAAGAAAGGCGAGTAGCCAGTCGAAACGTGCGGAGGCATTCTGTAGGCTGCAAGCACACCAGGGATGCGCAAATCCCAGTCTTTCTGAGACTTATCGACCTGCTGACTCAGCATTGACGTCAGCGTTCTATCGAGCCATTCCACCATCCCATCCATTTGAGGATGGTAGGGCGAAGTCCCCAAAAGGTCGCACACCTCCTTCAGCAGTTTAGCCAAAAATGTTTTCCCTTGATCGGTGAGGAGGCGTTCCGGGGCCCCCTTATCCAGCACGTACCAGTGGAGGAACGCCTCAGTAATACTGGCAGCCGACTGATTTGGGAGCGGCCAAGCCACAGGCCAGCGGGAAAAGTATTCAATGCCCACAAGCAAGTATTTGTTATCCCAGGCCGTAGTGGGGAAGGGTCCCAAGATATCCAGGGCCACCAGCTCATTGATGCGGGACACCTTAATCGGCTGCAAGGGTGGGCAGCACTTGACAGGCGGTGGCTTACGGCGGGTGCACGGCACACAGCCCTTCAGGACGTTTCTCATGTCTGCCGCCATGGCGGGCTAAAAATAATCAAGCCTGAGGGTGGCCAGGGTCTTATGGACCCCCAAATGCATCAGGCGTTCATGGGTTTCCACAATCAGCCTGCCTCTCAGGCACGTGGGTACGATATCATATCGTTGCACGCCGCCATCCCAACACATTAACAGACCCCCCTTTAAAACGACGGGAGCATCGCCCAGAGCCGTCAACCGACCTGGAAGCGGACACATTCGGAATGACTCAGACCGAGGACAGGGTCCTGCGCCACGGAACCACTGGCCTCCTGGGGGTGAATCGTTGATGCCGACACGACAATGGGGGGAGCAGCAACCACGCCCGAC